TCTCTCCCTCTTCCTCTCCCTCCTTCCCTCCTTCCCTTCCTTTCTTTCCCACAGGGATCGAGCCCAGGGCCTCCACCCTCTAATCAAGAGCTCTTCCTCTTCCTCTACTTACAGAGCCACCTGAATTCAGGGCTCCACCCTGCTGACCTTATCCAATCCTAACCACCTTCCGAAGGACCCACCTCCACACACCACAGTTTGATTGTTTCCCCTCTCTTACTTCCCAGCCTGAGCTTGGAAGGGGCCAAACCATACTCAAACCCCAATAATCCCAGGCGAGGTGGGGGCAGACAGTGGGGAGGGTCATTTGTTCACTGTTGAAGCTGGATGGCGGGTACACGAGGGTCTCTGATGCCGTCTTTAGTATTATTTATTATATTTGAAATTTTCCAAGATGAAAACAACTATTGGACCAAACAAGCCATCAGACATGACTTCCAGGTCAGCAGAGACCATCCTAATGGAACCTCTTTGCAGATCCTCCGGGGGAAGAGGGGGCTACCACAAAAGAGTTCAGCTGCTCACGTCCACCTGCCGGTCACCGTGAGGAGGCCCTGGACACACCGAGCTGCTCCATGCACACAGTCTGCCTCTGCAGGCCAAGAATACCCGCCTCAGGAAAGCTGGCCTGGGACCGAATGTCCCCATCACTCAACTCATAAAACATGGCCAGAGGCCCACTGAGTTTGTATCCAGGGATTTTAATAAGCACATTTTCTTCGTGTGATTTTTGTTTTCCAGGATTTTCTTCTCCACATTTGAACTCAAATACGAGTGTGGTCGTATTGGGTCAAAATGCGTCTCTGCTTTGCTCCCACAAGAATGAGTCACTGGAGATCAAATATTTATTGTTTTTGAATAAGAAATTGCTGGGCAACCAGACAGGAAAAGGGGAAGCCGTGACTTTTAACGTGACCATCTCCACAGCCGAGGATTTGGGCACCTACAAATGCAAAGCCGTGCTCCTCAACTGTTCCACCTACAGTAACCCATTCAACTTCACCGTCAGTGGTAAGTCAGTCACCTGCCACTTGGAGGTTCTGCAATTCATGGGATTCGCTTTTGTTCCACCAAGGGCTTTTATGCCCCTGGCCAACATTCGAGAGGCTTATTTGCTGCTGAGGCTCTTTATTATTTTTTGGAGGGGGGTGCCAAAAAAAAAAAAAAACGAGGGGCACTAGACCACTGAGCCACATCCCCAGCCCTATTTTGTATTTTATTTAGAGACAGGGTCTCACTGAGTTGCTTAGTGCTTTGCTTTTGCTGAGGCTGACTTTTAACTTGCAATCCTCATGTCTCAGCCTCCTGAGCAGCTGGGATTACAGGCCTGCGCCACCTTGCCCAACAAGTCTTTATTCTTAATAATCCTACTTCACTTGCTCCTTCAGAGACCTTGAACTATTTCAGATAATAGTCTTAGATCTTCAGGCAAACGTCATAGATCTCAGAGGCTTTATTTTATGATTACCAGCTATGGATAAAACCTCCTTCTTTCTGAAGACTCAATTAAGAAGTCTTGGAATCAGGGCAAAATAGAGTAGAAATCATATTTTTAAAAGGAATATGCATAACAGGGAGAAAATCCCAATAAACGCACAGTGCATAAGGTAAAGGCAGTAAACCCATGAATTACGTATGTTCTCTGTACACAACTTTTCTTCAATTTGTTACACTGTCCTGCAGAACTATTTTGGTAAATTCTGAAACTATTCCAGGCATGGTGGTCCTGTAATCTCAACAAGGTTGAGGCAGGAGGATCCCAAGTTCAAGGCCAGCCTTAGCAACTTAGTGAGGCCCTGAACAACCTAGCAAGACCCTGTCTCAAAATAAAAAATTAAAAGGGTTAGGGATGTAGGTCAATGATAGAGAGCCCTGGGTTCAATTCCCATTGTCAATCAATCAATCAATCAATGCCATCTTCAATTAAGTCTTATCAATAGATACTTATTAAGTGCCTACTCTGAACACGCAGTTGTGCTCCTGGGATTTCAGTGAGACCTAAGACATGGTTGTGTCCCCAACTCAGTAAAAGGTGAAGGTCTGAAGCATAAACACAAATTCCTCCATCACTGATTGCCTAGTGCATCTGGTTCCTGGCCTGCCGGAGCTTCTGGTCTAGTAGGGGAGACAAACACAACTACTCAAACAAATAAATCACAAGCCGTGTCGGTGGCCGCAAAGGAAAGGGGTAGAGTAACTTCCAGGAGTGTAGCTTGACGGCCCAATGAAGAGGGGACTGTCCTCTGCTATGGGAGAAAATGGAAGCATAAGGTTTTTTAAACATGGTACAAGGGATTGAACCTAGGGTGCTTTACCACTGAGCTATATCCCCAGTGCCACACACACACACACACACACACACACACACACACACGTTGTAGATGGACACAATACCTTTATTTGATCTATTTATTTAATTTTATGTGGTGCTGAGGATGGAACCCAGTGCCTCACATGGGTGCTGGGCATGCCCTCTACCACTGAACTATAGCCCTCACCCCAGCTCTTTTAACAGTTTGATTCTCCCACAAGATAGAGCATGATTTGTCAGAGCACACCAGACCTCTGTATTTCCTGTTGAGAGTTTCCCTCGAATCTATTTAGCAAGGTTACTTCTGCTTTGCAGAGGAAGTAGAAGATAACTGTGCAGCTGAATTCTATAAATGAAAATACAGATAGAATATTTTTGGATGGAGAACACAAGCCACTCTCAACCTTACACTGAGAGCTGAACCATTGACAAAACTATACTCACTATCAACGATAAGCAGATTGAAAACTCTGTAAAAGGCAGGCTCAGACCCTAGTTCTTCAAAGCAGAAACACACGCCAACTTATGGCTTGGTAAACCTCTGACTCTTGTTGCGATGCAGCCAGGAAGGGACCTTGTCAGACACCACACTGTTTGGACTTTCCATCATAATCAAGAGCCAGATAAACCTCTCTTCTTAGTACATTACCTGGTGTCAGGCATTTTGTTATAGCAACTCAAAAGTGGGCTAAGACAGTGAACTCAATCTGCTTAGTCTTTAACACATCCTTTCATCCTTCTAGACCTGGTGACTTCCCCAGTGCTAACCTTCAGATTGATCCAGCAGAAACCACACTGCATCTTTTTTCAATGGCTTGCATAATTGTACTTTCTTTTCCTGAGTTCTTTCAACCAGCTCTGGATTTGCTTCCAGACACTGCAGCTACCTCTGAACCCACCCACTTCTCACTTTGGCCACCTACTTCCAAAGGCAAGGTCCCTCTGGTAGGGTCCACACAAGCTCTGATGGAATTGCTCTCTGACCTAAAAGGATGAATGAGTTAACTGGTGGGTCCCAGGTGCCTACTGTGCCTCAGGGATCAGCCGCACAGTAGGTCGGTTGTCTTGGGAGGCAGGGTGATGGCCCTTCCTGCCAGGTCAGGGTCACTGGGGAAGACGGCCATGCACTGACCAGGGATTGCTGTCTTCTTCCAGAGGGAGACCGCTGTCCTATCTGCCCAGTGCTGCCTCTGCTGCTTCTGGGGTTACTGCTGGTGCTCCTGGCCATAATCCTGGTTCCGGTTTTTTGGCTCCAACGAAAATACAAAGCAAGTAAGTTCTTGACCGTTGTTTCCCCTGGGTTTGGGATATAGACAGCAGGGCAGAGAGTAAGGGGGAGGGCCAGGGGGTCAGACTGGAATGCGGAGGGGCTGGGGATGGCTCAGGGGTCACACCCTTGTCTAGCAGGCCTGAGGCCCTGGATTCCACCCCTGCACCTCAACAACAAAAGGCTCCCGGCACAACAATAATTCTCAAACAGTGGAATGGAAAGAAGAGGAAGGGGAGGATGAATGAGCGAGAATTCCCAAATGGCCCCCACTTGGGGGTCATGCCCACCGGCCCAGGAAGGCCCCCCCCAGCTGTAGGTTGCAGACAGAGCTGGCCACCGGACCTGCAGCTTGTGTGGTCACATGGCCTCCCCCCAGAAGAGTCCCTAAAACTCTGCTGCCACCAACTCACAATTCCGAATAACTTCCTTTCTAAAGAATATCTATAACCTGACATTTGCCAGTTTCACTCTTGTACATTTTTGTTGTTGGTCCATTTTGGCTGCTGGACTGGACCCCAGGGCCGTGCACCTGCCGGGCCAGGGCTCCACCACCCAGCTGCCTCCCCAGCCCCCACTTTAACCAGACAGTTCCGTGACGTGGAACACAGTCACATTGCTGGGCAGCTGTCCCCACATTCATGCGCCATCCTGTCCTCGCCTGGGTCCTGGCCGGCTTAGCCCATTCTCTGTTTCTGTAAAGGTGCTGCTCTAGGTGCCTCCTGAGTGGCCTCACGCAGTAGCCGTCCTTTGGCATCCGGCTGATTTCACATCATGTCACAGCCTCAAGGTTCGCGCATGTGGCGGCATGTAGCAGCATTTCCTCCCTTGTTGGGGCAGAAAAATACTTCCTTGTATGCACGCCCCACATTTTCTCCATCCAGTCGTTCCTCCTTGGTGGCCTGGGTGGCTTCCGCCCCCTGGCGACTGTAGGAACACTAGTATTTTGAACAGGAGACCCTCCTGTCCGTCTTGCACAGGGCCCTGCCCAGCATGGAGCTGGTCCTGGGTGCCAGCCTCCTCCAGGCAGGGCCTCGCCTTGAAGTATCCTCCCTGGCAGAGCTCTGTGCCCGAGAGCTCCTCCTCACTAGAGGCAGCTCCGGCGTGAAGACCCACGAGAACAGCATCCCTCTTCCCCACCTCACGCTGCATGTGGCAGAAAACTCACTGAGGTCCCCAGCAGAAGCCTCGGTTACTATTTTTTGCTAGTCTCCTCTTTTGGACCTCCTCTGGCTAAGCTTTCCAAGTGGGCTTTTCATTCAGCACACACACATGGGAGATATCCAGGTTTGCACAAGACACTTGGTGTCTCGACACACAAACCAGCAAGCTGAGGGGGTGCTGGGCAGGCTCCTTTGCCTCGGAGCCTCAGTATTCTGGCCTGTAGAATGGGGCGGTACAGATGCTGACAGAACTATATGCTGGTTGAGAGAACTAAATGATACATGGTAGGCCCCAGAGGGCCAGGAACTCAGCTGATAATAGGCTCGGGTGTCACTCAGCCGTAGAGCATGTGGTCAGAGCACACAAGGCTTTGGGTTCAATCCCAGGACCCAAAACAAACAAGCCAAATTGAAAATAAATGTCCTAACTTATATATCTCATACTTTTTTTTTTTCAGTACTGGGGATTGAATCTAGTACCACTGAGCCCTTTTCATTTTTTATTTCGTGACAAGGTCTCATTAAGTTGCTAAGGTCCTTGCTATGTTGCTGAGGCTGGCCTCGAACCTGCAATCCACCTGTCTTAGCCTCCCTGGTCACTGGGATTACAGGTGTGTGCCACCATGCCCAGCGACATCTCATATACTTTGAAAGCACATCTCACTTTCCTGTGAAAACCCAGATTCTTGTAAAAGTGGCACGAATATTCTTCACTATCACTGTCACAGAACTTGCCGTGACCACTGACTATCTCTTGAAGAGGTGCCAAAACTTCTGATGACTGTTCCCTTCAGGAAGGAAAAACATGTGACCAGCCTTTTCTCTCTTTTGATACCAGGGATTAAACCTAGGGGCTCTTAACCACAGAGGCCCATCACTGGCCTTTTTTATATTTTATTTTGAGATCGGGTATTGCTGAGTTGCGTAGGGCCTCGCTTAGTTGCTGATGCTGGATTTGAACTTGCAATCCTCCTGCCTCAGCCTCTGGAGTCACTGGGATCACAGGCGTGCACCACTGTGCCCAGCCTCTAATGGAATCTCCTAGTCAAAGAATGTTCCTCTCAGGACCAGGGTAGGAGGAGTACCTCACCAAGGGCCCCAGCTTGGAAGAGCAGGTGCTTTGGACAAATGTAGGATTTCCCCTCATCAGACACCAGTTTAGGCCACTAGAGTAGCTGCTCTTTCTTTTGGAAGTTTGGGAAAATCTGCTCCTCGGCAGAGGAGACGAGGAGAAGGGAAAACGTGACCAAATTGGTTCAATTGAATGATTCTGTACCCATTTATGTAGAAAAGGCTATGAGAGAGAACGTGCCCAAGGACCCTGGAGACATAGCCATGGAAGGTGAATTGTATGTCAACATCTGTGAAACCCTAGCAGGTGAGAGGACTTTGTTGAGTGCTTGGGTAGGTTTGGTCGGTTGGTTTGGGGTTCTTTTTGATTTTAAAGGCCTTTGAGACACGTGGGGTAAAAATGGAGCCAAAGGAACAGAACACAGCATCCCCTTCCTGTCTCACCCCAGGGCCAGGGTCAGGGTTGAATTCCTCCCACAGAGATCCTCTGGCTCTGCTCCGCATCTGGACAAATGGCAATTGTGGGGAGCCGCTCCAAATGTGTGCACCTTGAAGTCCTGATGCACCACAGGGATCTGAAAGATCACTGTAGCCTCCCAAGGATAATAAGGCTCGGCCCTGGAGTGGCCCCAGGAATAGGGGGCACCCAGAGGGGTTGAGCTACACTCACCTGTAATCCTACCCTTGTTCCCTGGTAATCCTACCCTTGTTCCCTGGTAATCCTACCCTTGTTCCCTGGTAATCCTACCCTTGTTCCCTGGTAATCGTTCCCTTGCCTCATTTGAATGGCTTCTTCCCAATAAAAGGGTTCAGCACGTGCTCCTCCCTCTTTCCATGGACTCCTAAGGTCAGAGGAGCCATCACAGGACACTCCCCGCCCCCCCCCCCCAAAAAAAAAGGTCTTTCTCTGTCTCTATGTGATTATTTCATGCCAGCTCAGTTCACCTAGAGTGACTCTGTTTAGTCATGAGACATAACAGGCATGTGGCATTCTATGCCTTGGATTTGTTTTTGTTTTTTTCCCCACTTTAAGATATCTTGATTTTTTTTTAAAAGTTCAGAATGATTCACACTGTGTTCCAAAGTCCTCTATGATTATTTATTTATCTATTTATTTATTTATCGGCACTGAGGATCAAACCCGGGAGTGCTTTACCCCCCGAGTTACATCCCAGCCCTTTTTATTTTTGGAGATTATCCATAAGTTGCTTAGGGTCTCACTAAGCTGCTGAGGCTGACCTCAAACTTTCAATCTTCCTGCCTCAGCCTCCGGAGCAGCTGGGATTACAGGCCACTATGCCTAGCTACCTTTTCTTTTCTTTCTTTCTTTCCTTTTTTTTTTTTTTAAGAGATCTACATTTTTATTTATTTAAATTGATAAATTAAAATCGCATATATTTATCATGCGCCACGTGTCGTTTTGAAAGACACCTACATTACTTGGTTGGGGGGGGGTATTTGCAGGACTGGAGAGGGAACCCCGGGCCACACGCTGGCTCCACCCCCGAGCTGCACGACATGGCTAAATGCAGCCGATGAGCCCGAGCACTGCATCACACGCGATCATTTTTGTGGAGAGAACACTTAAATCCTGCTCCCTCAGTGACTTTCAGGAACCCAGGACCTTGCTATCACCCCTCTCCTGCAGGCTGTCAATCCGCCCCTCAGTGTGGGGGGCAGGCTGCGCTTCACGGTGAGGAAGACCCAAGGCCAGGGGCTCCGTCCTCCACCCCCGGGGCACTGCACGGTGCTAACCACCTCCCCGAGGTCTTTACCGTTTTGCGACCCACAGTCCCCGACGACGGCAAGTGCTTTCCGCGACGTCCACGGTCTCGACGCCACTGCCCCCGTGTGGCCAGAGATGCAAAGAACTGGCCCAGTAACTCCCTCCTGCGCCTTGTCTTTTTCCCAGGGACAGAACACACCCAGGAGATCCACTACGCCACCCCAGAGTTTGGGGAGGTGGCACCAGGGAAGCCAGGTGAGCCACGGGATGGGGTGGGGGTGTCAAGAGCTACTGATGACAGATCAGGGTCCCTATGGCCACAGGCACAGCTCCGGAAGCCAACAGCACCCAAGAAAACTGCTCCGGACAAATCTCATCCCGAGATGGAGCAGTGGGAAAGAAAAAACGCGGGGTGGGAGATGTCCTGTAACAAGTCCCCAGAAGAGGATGCAGGGTCACTATACAATATTGTCAAGAATAAATGTGTTAGCCGGGCCCAGTAGCACAGGCCTGTCATCCCAGTGGCTTGGGAGGCTGAGGCAGGAGGATCACAAGCTCAAAGCCAATCTCAGCAAAAGCAAGGTGCTAAACAACTCAGTGAGACCCTGTCTTTGAGTGTCCCTGAGTTCAATCAGAAGAAGGAGAAGGAAAGTTGTTGTTTGGCCAGCCACAGTGACAAAGGTTTGTAGTTCCAGAGACTCAGGAGGTTGAGGCAGGAGGATCACAAGTTTGGGGTTAGCCTCAGTAATTTAACAAGACTTTCAGCAACTTAGCAAGACCCTGTCTCAAAGAATAAAACAGCGCTGGGGATGTGGCTCAGTGGTAAAGTAACCCTGGGTTCAATCCCCAGTACTAAATAGAGAGATAGATAATTTGACACACTCCAGGAAAAACCACTTAATGCTTGGTTCTAACAGGCCATCTATCTCCTAGAAATAGGATTTCCTTTTCAAGTCCCTCTGTTCACATAACTTAAATTTATTGAATTACCATTTTTTCCCTTTTATATTTCAGAAGCCTGTTATGATTATGTAACTGATTCTGCCTATTCTGAACTCGCCTTCTGAAATTCAAAGAAACTGACTACATCTCAGTGTAAGACACTGTTTAGGAAAGCTGATTTAAGTGAAGAAAAAGTAGACTCATTTGGCATTTTGAAAGGTCCAACCTGGTCACCTAAAGTGAATCTCTGGTTTTCATGGCTGAGCGCTATTCCTTTGAGCTTCTTGGGTGAATCCAGTGTCGTCGTCAGCAGTGATCAGGTGGACTCCCTGGTAAGGCTGGAGAGCTCTGCTCTTTGTAGGCATGGACCATCCTCCTGATTTCCTCATCATTTTCATTTTTATTTTTCCCATTGTTTTTAAAAGAACAAGTCTTAGGCTGCGATGTTCTTCACAGTGTGTCCTGGAAGCATTATGATGACCAGCATTCACGTTTCCCTGTCCCTGTGCCCACTGAGGGTTCTAAAGCAAAAACACAAAGCAAAATCCAGAAAGGTGACCTTGAAAGTGGATCAATTGGGGCAGGGAAGAGGAAGAAAAAGAAAAGAAGAAGAAGAAGAAAGAAGACAGAGGTCACTAGATAATCCAAGATGATCTCATTTCAAGATCCTTAATGTAGCTGGCACGGTGGCGCCCACACGGCACCTGGGGAGGCTGAGACAGGAGGATTGCAAGTTCAAAGCCAGCCTTAGCAACATAGTGAGACTCTGTCTCAAAAAAAAAAAAAAAGTACTGGGACGTAGTTCAGTGGTTAAGTGCCCCTGGGTTCAATCTCTGGTACACCCCCACCTCCCCACCGCCCCCATACACCCTCATGCAAAAAAAAAATCCTTAATTTAATTATATCTACAAAGACCCTTTTCCCAAATAAAGTCCTGTTCCCAAGTTGCAGGAGTTAGGACACAGACATGTTCTTGGGCTGCTACCAAAACATCATGGAGGACAAAGTGATTTCTAGCCTGAGTGTCGTCTTCTGGGAATTTGAAGTCAAGTAAAATAAAAGTTAACTGATATGTCTAGGGTCCCAGACAAACAGAACAACTTGGCCAACGTGTCGGTGCTCTGTTCTTGTTCCGGGGCAGCCTGGACCTCAGTCCTGATTATTCCTAGCAATGAGCCTCCGAGTAGAGGCCACGGTGACGTCAACGCCCTGCCCTCAGCGATGGCTTTAGTAACGTGCTTTGACAAGCGAGGAAACTCAGAAGAGTGGAGCCGTCTTGCAGAGTCACCACGGCCTGGCAAGCGGCTGGAGTAGGAGCTCGATCCTAGCAAACGGCAGCAGGAACGGCGCTTCAGGGTGGGCAGGAGTCAGTTTAAAGATTTTGCTGCCATGAAGCGGCATTCACGAGCTTCGTTCCCCACTTCCTCTGTCGATATTTTTATTTATGGAAATCAGTACATTACAGAGACTCAGTATAGGCAGCTCCGGAGTCAGACCCAATCTGAACCTAGGCTGAGTCATGTGCCGTGTGACTCTGGATAAGTTACCTAACCTCTCTGGGCTCTGGTGTCCTCATTTATAAGGAAGTGGGTGGGAATAATACCCACGTTGTGGTGAAATGAACTCGGGGAGTGGATGTGAAGGGCCCGAGCGTGATCAGGTATCTAATAGAACCTCAGTCCCAGCCACTCCAAGGGCGGTGATGCTCACTCAGAGACACCGAGTGTCTCTGGCTGTCACTCTAGAAACCTTTAAGCCTTCAACGTCATAAAACTTGGTGATTTGGCCACCACTGGCTTCCTCGTCCGCCTTAACTTGAGCTCCCTCTAAAGCAGAGCCAGAGACCAGGAGCAGGGAGCGGGCAGTCTCCAAGGAGGAGGGATGAGTGACCGGGAGGGAGTGAGATGGGGAAGAAGGAAAGTCAACCCAGGGATCATGGGCTCGGGGGCCACAGGGGACACTGAGTGGGTCCTTTAAGACCGAGGTCTGGAGGTCCAGACTGCCTCCCAGAAACCTGTGCTGGAGGAGGGACAGGGAGAGAGGCTTCGTCCTCCGTTGAGGGTCGGCCAAGAAGGCCTGTGCCGAGAGCAGGTCCACGGCCAGTGTCAGAACCAGGCAGAGGACAAGACGCCTGTTCTTTTTGGCTGCGATTGTGTGACTGTGCGGGGAACCCAAGCCACGCAGACCTTGCCCACGGCTCCGGCTGGCCTTAGGGGTGAGACCGAGAGGGCACCAGGTGGTGCACGAGAGCAGGCCAACATACCCCTGCGCCAGTCCCCCACCACTCGGCTCTCCCCATGCCCGCCACGGAGATGAGTCTGCACTGTCCGCTGGTGGGTGCCAATCACCACCTCCCGGGGACCTCCCACGGGAAGATGGATGGCAGCAGGCCCTGGGTCCTCGGCCATGCTCCTCCCTTCCCTTCCCTCATCCAGTCTCCCTCCCCCTCACTGCAGATGGCCTAGATGGCTGGGGTGGCCCATCTCCAGCCCTATAGGGCCTGAGCGCTGGCTGCCGGGCCCTCCTGGGGCCTTGGTGCTGCCTTTGCCATTTTCTGTTGTTGGAAGCATCAAAAGACGCCCCCTCCCCAGGGAAACCCTGGACATACTCCTCCCTGCCATGGAAGCCTCGCCAGGGGCCACTTGGAGTCACCCGACAAGGGGTTCTGTCCGCTGGGCTGTTAACTACATCTTCCTCCACGTGCCTTCTCTGCTGGGCACAGACGAGGGACACCACGATCCAGGCTTCTGCTCACTCCCACGAGCCACCCCGCCCCCACTGTCTTCCCCACACCTCCTGGTCTCTGACCTTCTGATCCCGCTCCTCCGGCCATCCCAGGATCAGCCTCCAGAGCACCTGCTGCCACCCCCCCGGGAGTCTCAGTAGGTTCTCACGGCAGTCGCTTCTCCCCCCACCCACAGCAGACGGCCCCCGCACTGCTGGGCGCTGCGCCTGCTGGAAGAACCTTCCTTCTTTTCTTCCTGCAGGACAGGCTGACTGCGGCCAGCATGGTCCATTTCTGATTCTCACCAGAAAATCAAACGGACCACGTTAAGCCGGAGCCGAGCTTCCTTTGGCAGGTCGTCGGTGAAAGCTAGCTGAGGCCTTAGAGTCACAGAGGCAGGTGGCAGAGGAGTCTGTGCCTCCTGCTCTCGTGCCTTGTTTTCTCCCCTGTGTTGAATGTCCCACTTCCATTCATGTGATGGACCATTAGTTGCCCACCTGACAGTCCCCCGTCCTGATGGTCACAGTCGCCTGTCGTGGGCTCAGGAACTTGGTCTCTTTGAAGACCCGGTGGCAGGCCAGGAGCTGCATTTTGAATGGTGAGTTGTTCTTTGGGGTTGAGGTCACGGCCTTGCTGTCGCACCCAGGAGACTCTGCTGGTGTCTCCACCCGACTTACAGACACAAGATCTGCCACATCCAATGGCCTGAGGCGCAGGGCAGCTGGGTTCTGCTCAACACCTGCAGCCTCCCAACTCACGGGCATCTCCGTGAATGGAAACGGCACACCCAGTGTGGCCAATGCTGCTGACAAAATTGGACCCAATGTGAGACATCTTGGAGCAGTTCTTCGTTTATCAACGGCTTCCACGCATCCCCACTGAAGCGAGCATTCTGGGTTCCCTGGTATCAAGTCTCAGCTCAGACCGTGTATCTAACAGTTCCTGAAGTCCCTGGGTGGACTGGTGGACTCCTTTCGCCAGTGTATAATCTCTGGGCTAAAGAGCTATAGGAGTTGAGCGCGGTGGTGCAGGCCTGTAATCCCAGTGACTCAGGAGGCTGAGGCAGGAGGATCGCAAGTTCAAGGCCAGCCTCAGCAATTTAGTGAGACCCTGTCTCTAAGGAAAAAATATAAAAAGGGCTGGGGATGTGACTCAGTAGTTAAGTGTCCCTGGGTTCAATTCCTGGCACCCCTAACCCCACCACCACCACCAAAAAAAAGGGGTGGGGGGACCTAGGAAGCTTTGGGGAGGGATTGAGAGAATATTTATCATTTACACTTGCTGCTTAACAGAGTCTTTTCTCTAGGCAACCTCATAGCTCATTCCCTGGCGAGTCTGAGAAGTGGTTCAAATCTGGAAGCCGGCAGGAACTCACAATTTTCATTTTCAGTGCCGACACCAGTCACCCTGCATTCAGTTGCTTTGGATCTTTAGTTGTTGTCGTTGTATAAATAATACTGCTACTGGCTGCCCGTGGCGCTCATTTCTAGAAACACCTGGGTCCCTCGGCCTAGGTCTCATTGTGGGTCACAAGCACTTTGGCCTTACTACCCACCGCGAGGTCATCACAGTGGCCTGGACTCCCACACCCGGGTGCCACCACCTACCCTCTGCTGGTCCAGAATCCTGCCATCCCCATGGGTACCATCCTCATGGTAGCATCTTCTGCCCCCAACTCTGGCTGACAGAGGGCAGCCACCACTTAGGCTTTCCCGAGTTCCTGTGTCCCCACACCAGGACATTTGGATTGCTTTGATAAAGGAATGTCCCACAAGCCCACGTGATGGGCTGGTCCGCTGGTGTGCGATCCATCTCCCTAATGAGCTGGTTCCATGTGCCTCTGACTCCCTCAGTATCTTGCTCAGGCCCTTCTGACATCTCCACAGCATCGCTCGGCACTGTCCAATGAGAATAAAATGTGACCCACATAGTCACTTTTGCGTTTGTCTAGTAGCCTCAGTAAAAAATGAAACAGATAAAATAATAACAATATTATTATAAATAATTATTAACCTAACCAACCCTAATAATTAATAATTATCATAATAATGTTATTGTTATTATTATTTTGGTACTGGGGATTGAACCCAGGGATGCTCTATCACTGAACTGCATTCCCGGGCCTTATTGGTTTTTAATCTGAGTCTCCCTAAGTGGCTGTGGGTCTTGATAAGTTGCTGAAGCTGGCTTCAAATTTGCAATCCTTCTGCCTCAGCCTCCTAAATTGCTGGGATTACAGATGCAAGCCACCATGCCCAGCAAAACAGATGAAATTGATTAGAATGATGTATTTTATTTAATCCACTATGTATCCAAAATTTTATTATTTTAACACGTGCCACGACCCCTATTTCACCCAGAATACAGCATCGCTTCTAACTCACGGTGGCTGCCATGTTGGGCTGCTTGGCTGTGGGGTCCTACTGGGTCCAAGCTTCAAGAAGCCATCTCTGTGACAGGTTTGGATCAGCTCCGGGTGTCCGTGGCATGGCATGAACTCCAGTTCCTTGATCTAGTCTTATATTTTGTTCCCCCAGCTAGGCACTCTCAGCCACTCTCCCCGGGACCCCCAGCTCCTGGCACACCCTGCAGCCCTTGGGGAGATAAGCACTTGCTTCCCATGGCAGAGACTGTCCTTCCCCACCCAGGCTCTGCCGAGACCCGAGCCTGACCTATGCGGGAGACAGGGATGGATCTTAGAGAATTCTGTGAAGCAAGGAGTGGAGATGGCCGGGGGCTGCGGGGAAAGGGATGGAGGAGTGACTCTCTCATGGGCACAGACCTTCAGTTTGGGAAGATGGAGGAGTTCTGGAGGTGGACGGTGTGATGGTGCCCGACCATACAACTGCATTTAATGTGGACCTAAAATTGGTTAGGAGGGTAAATTCTATATTATGTGCACTTTAGCATAATAGTGAATCAAGATGAGACATATCTGCCTCACATCAGGACTTCCGATGGCAGAGGAGGGTGCTGTCCTCAGAGGGCTCAGGGGAATTAGGAATTTCAAAGTCCTAATACCAAGGCCCCCTCCTTCCCTGTCCATGCCTGAGGCAAGAAAACTGCTGGATGTGCCCATGCGGTCTCCCTGGTTTCCCTACCTTTGATCAAATCCTCGGCTTGCTTGTGGGCAGGGCCTGCCCCTTGGCTTTGGGAGATGAGGCCATCTTTAGAGGGAAGGAAGCCCTCTGGGTTTCCTGGTTTGCCCTGAATCAATGGCCTCTCATTTGCTCCCTGCAAAGCTTCTAATGCAGGTAGAAGAAGCAACCAGTGCTACATAATTACCATTGCTCCAAACCTTTCATGGGCAGGAGCTATTGCACAACCTGGTGCTCCACTTTCCACGCACCTCCCTCTCCATCTGGAGGCAGGGGGAAGG